GGGAAAGGGCCTGGCTAGCCGGTGTCCTCAGCAAGCACATTCTGCACTTTAGTGTGCTGCTCCAGCTCCCACTCATTTTCTCCAGTTTATGAAGAAAACTTGCTTTACTATATCGTCTCATTGCACTCTGTGTCTACAACCGCTTAGCCCAGATTCACTGGAAATCTTATGCCTGGACTTCTGTCTTCATTACTTATCACAATGGTACCTTCCTTGTCCCATTTGTTATTAGTTTAGGACAGTTGCCAATCATGTGTAATGACTTTTCTTGTCTAGCAAGATCACTGAGACATTTTGAAAAATGGGCCACTCTTCCTCATATGAGTCAGCTTTCATCAGGTCAGGCAATCTAAAGATAAATGGTCATCACTTTTGAACACCATATTATCAGGATGAGTGACAAAAATTTACCCCCCCCCCCACACACAATTTATTCTCGACAACTGCATTGACCTGCTAGAATCCAGTGTGGCAGTTTTAGCATTTTAGAAGTAATTCAGAAAATCATATAATCGACTTACTACTGCCATAGGTGGTATAACTTCCTCTCATCTAGTTAACACATTAATCCAATGGGCTCTAACCATCATTCATTAATTTAAAACTCATTCATTTTAATTGGTCTACTCTAAGTAAGACTAAAATAGGATACAACCCTTGCACTGAGGGCTTTTTCTGCATCCATAAAAAGAACCACTCTGTTCAGCATCTGGTACAATCAAAAGGAATGATAATAAAGACCTATTGACTGTACACTGTTTTCCATGCAAAGTGCCCTGGGAAAAGTTGGTGCATTTTGGATTTTATTTATTTATTTTTGAAAATTTGAGCAGTCCTTAAGGTGGTAGCACAGAGGGTCTGATTCTGCACAGATGACTTAAGTATTCTCAGCATAACTCCATCTGGCTTGATATCCAAACTTCAGGCTTGATATCCAAACTTCAACATCTCATAATTATTTTCTTCCTTCTTGTTCATGGGGAAGGAAGAGGCCTTCTGAGCCTCAAAACAGCCACTAATGGATCATTGCATTAAAACCCAACCCTTCAATTTTCTCTTGTAAATTGAAACATTTCAAGGGGTGTTAGATGATGCACAGGGCTTTGCTTTAGACGTTTAATAAAACCTTTAAAAACTGTTTCCTTATGACATTTAAACAATACCCATAAAGGAAATTCTAACTCTCTGTTCACCGAGCAAAGCTACGGCACCTACTGTTGTAGCCGGAGGGTTCTTATGCTAGCAAGAAAGCATCTCCCTGCTGGTGCAGCAAGTTCCCAACCACTCAAAGCATCCTGAGCCCCCCTCCCCCCCCCCAAAGCGGACCCCTCAGGCAGATTGCCAGACTGCAGCCCTCTTGAATTATCACATCGGTATCGGTATTTGCCCTGTCAATGGATTTCAGCTTGTCTTCTTCAAGAAAAATGTTCCATTTAATCATATGTTTTGGCAACGTCCAGTACATGCTTCTTTTTGGGAAGTGGTTTATAATATAGGTTAACTTTATACTGGAGCACTAATTACTATTTACTGATTCAAATGTTCTTTTAAATTATATACCTGCTTTCTGGAAGTTAACTCATGTCAGCATAAATGGATTTTCCTCACCTCTTTGACAGCTAAAAGACTAATATTAGCACTGGAAAGGGTAATATATCTCCTTTTAGTATTTTGTTTTTTTTGAAACTTATAAAAATAATTTTTAGAAACTCCCGCTTGTCCTCATTAACTGGGAAAATAATCTAATGTCACACAAAGCGATTAGACCTACGGAGGAGTTTACTTTGATTTTAACACAATGCAGTAGCAATTGTTCAAGTAAAAATATGTTTTATAAAACAAAATGTTCAGAAAGATGCATGCTAGAATTTTTGTTCAAGACATGTGATCACCATGAATGCCTAAACTCTTTATGTGTAGGTGTATGTACATATCAATGCCACCATTTTTTTAAAAATAAAAAGATCCTTGTGACATCTTAGAATCTACAAATGAATCATGGCATAAGCTTTCTGAAACTCAGGATCAACTTAGGTTCTGACTTCATGTATCTAATGAACAACTTTTTGTTATTTTTGCTGCCATGGACCGACAGCCCCTCTTTTTGCTGCCAGTCCCTCTGGAAATAATTTTAAAATATTATAGTCTGATGCATTTTCTGAATTAGTGCAGTCTAGGCTGGAACAAGTCCAACTTGGTTAAACACAGTTTATGCTAAGTACAACATAGAAAGCAACAGACCAGTTGGGAGATTCCATTTTCACAGGATCAAATTTTAAAAGTTACTTTCAGAATTCTTTTAAAATACTTGAGTTTTACACTAAAAATGACCCATCACAGATGTCAGCCTAACACCCAATTTGAAGTGAGCTCTCAGGTTTCCTCTCCCTTTACATGTTTCAGAGAGACCTCCCAAGAGTTGACACTGTCATATGTAACACATTTATGGAGAGGGCGAGGGAGGCAGAGAAATGCTCACAATCACATTTGTTGGCAACAGGATATGATATGGTTTAGCTTATCCTTATCTGGTTCTTTGAAAAGAACTTTAAAAGTTCAGCTATTTTATTCTGAGTAAAATTGTTTTGGTGGAAAGGTAGACCATATACCAGTTTTATTCTTTGCCTTCTTATTTTCTTAAAGGTTAAACTTCCTGTTACTCAACTGAACATCTCAAAGAAGACATATTTCCAACTCATGACAGTTTTTCATGTAACATGAACACATACTTTGAATTGTGTTATCAGACATTTGGCTTTTATCTGCAATCTTGAAAAACACGTGGATGCGCGCGCACACACACACACACACACACACACACACAATAATGCCATAGGAATACAGTGGTATTATGGCTGGTTTATGGCTGCAATTCTGAGCATGCTTTTGTTTTTGCTAGTATGTGCCATTGTCTCCAACTTACTGCCACCCTGTGTATGAAGGCTCATCTGAAATGTACTCTCCTGCTCAGCTTATGTAGACTCAAGACTGTGGAATTGTAGGCCATTTTTCCGCCTAAGCACACATGCACCCTGTTCCTATTGTCATCCCTTCCCGGGCACTCCTGTCCCCCAAAAGGTGAGAAGCTAAAGTTTCGTCAGCCCTACTTACCATAAATCAAAATCCAAGGTAAGCTAAAGAGTGCCCCCTTGTGTGAAAGAAGCAGTCATGGCCCAAGAGGTTTAATGTAAGAAAGCAGACAACTGGGAGCATATTAGAAGTGAGACTATCCCTTTTTTGTTATGGTTTAAGCATTCATTTTCATTATTATTTCGCTGTAATGTACCTTTAATATATCGTATTCTCTCGCTTCAAGTCCTCGAAACTGGAAAGAAGTGTTCAAAAGCCCCTATAAGCTTTTAGGGCTCCAGTGAACTGTAGCATTTTGAGCTTAACCCACAAAGTATAGTGCTTGAGCTGGCGTAGCAAAGTGGTTAAGAGGCTACTATGAACCAAGAAGTTCCTGCTTAAACTCTTGCCTCTGACATGAATTCCTTTGGCAGCCTGTCACAAACTCAATCTTCCCTTCAGCAATATGGAGGATAACAGTGCTTACTTAACTTCCAGGGTTGGTATTTAATCTACAACTAAACAATGCCTTTAAAGCATTTTGAATACCTGAGAGTTTTATAGATATGTTCAGTATTACGGCTAATGGGGTGGGTTAGGTGATGCTTCAGGTGATGCTTTGTGGAGGAGATAGATGAAGGAAGGACTGGTAACCAAATGATGTGGCAGGACTCAGAGGGTTACCCCAAGTAATGAGTGAGCACCATGTACTTCAGGGAGCAAAATACTTTCAGCTGGAAGCTGTGTGGTGCCATTAAGTCCATCTATCCCAGTATTGTTGGCACTGATTGGGAGTGACATCTCTTTGGTGTTCCAGGTAGGAATTTTTCCAGCACTGTCTGGAGATACTGGGAATTGAACCTGGGACATTTGCAATTGAAATCATGCGCTTTACTGAGCAACAAATCTGCTTTACTTTTGCTTCAGTTTTGCAGTCCTTGGTAGCTACTGGCTAAGGGAAAGGACAAGGGGGTTAGGAACACATGCAATTGGCTCATCATCCAGGGCATCCGCAGGATCTGAGCTGCCTGGTTCTACCCTGCCTTTCTTGCCATCAGAGCCCCTGCATGTATTAATCATGAGACAGGGACACCACACAATGGGACCATGGCTGGGTTTTTCCCCAAGATCAGGGGGGTGGGGTTTGTATTGGCCCAGTGGTAAACCCTGCAGTGGAGGAGTAGGTCTTCATGAATACTCTTCCATGATATAAACATCAAGGGGAGAAGTTGGGCATGAGATCAGGAAGACACCGGTGAGGCTCCATTGTTGTTCAGTTACAGGAAGCCCGTTTTGCAGGAATACTGTGTAAAAGGGGAGATCAAGAGGAGGTGAAAGAGGAGGCACAAAAGATAGGGAGCAGAAATCTAGGAGGGATTTGAGGTGGGACAAGAAACAAGGCAAAAAGGTAGGGGAACCAGTTAACTTGAAAAATCCAGCATATTTTTTGGCTGTAGGTCATTACAGCCAAAATGACCTACAGAGTGTGTATTCTAACAACAGACTTCCTAGCTGCCCTCCATGCTTTGTGGGAATGTTAGATAATGCTTTTTTTAAATGAATATTATATTTATCCTCTTTCCATGCTGAGAAAAGCCCTCAAACTTAACAATCTATTCATCCTGAGAGGTAGATAGCAGGAGGTTTCAGGAATGTTTCACAGGCTGAGTTTATCTGGAGATGGAAGTTGAAGCCAGCATAATATTTAGCTGTCATAAAAGATAAAGGGTTCTCAGAATGACATCTTCTCTGTGTAAGGGATTAGTTATTTTTTATGAAGTAGCTGAAAGGTGGGAAATAATTCAACTGTGCAATTGATGCAGCATACCTCTGAAAGGAATAATAACCATTTATGTAACATAGCCTATTATGTGCTAATGTATTTGGGTTTTGTTCATATATATCAAGGCATTAACAAAAGAAACACCAAATTAATCTCAGGCATTCAGGACTTTATTTTTCAAAGGTGAGTAACCAAAAGCAGAGCTGAAACCAAATTGCATGCATTTATAAGACATTGTCTCTGACACATAAGAATGAGTTACCCAGGTTTAATACTGGTAGCTGTAATAAGTTTGCGCTGGGTGGCTAGACTTCTCCATTCTTATTCTAAGTCCCTTCTGGCCTTCTTTAAAAGAATGAAAACACATATTTTGCATCAAAACCCTTTTGCAATATTAGAACCTTTTGCCACTGTTCATGCCATGGCATAACAGTGAGGCTCCCCCATCAAGGACTGATGTGGTGGTACAGTCTCCAGAGGAACCAGGTCAACCTCTTTGTCAATAAGCACACAATAAATGCTTAATTTAAGAACAGCCCCCACCACAGCTTGGGGTGTCTGCAGGCGGAAAAATAAAATAGCGGGGAGGAAAGAAAAAAGTCAGAAAGCAAGTTTAAAAACATATACATGGATGTAAGTACATACCTCCCAGAATTCTCAGTACAGGGATGATATACAGCTCATGTGCAAAATTGATTTAGTTATGGGATGAAACTCTCAAGTCTGACCCCACTGTATAACTAGACCTGATCAAAGCCCCATTTCACCATTGCTTCTGTTCAGGCTCATTTTCATGGAAAATGTAGAGCAAATGTTATCGCCCTAAAGACTGAATATGAACCCAGAGTACATATTACTTTGATGGCTCTACACAACATGCCCATAGAACATGCAATACTTAAGGATTTTACATAATGTATTTTTTTAAAGTGGGTGTCAGATTATGGATTCAATTTACGGATACATTCGCTCTGTTGTCTAAAGGGACTAATTAAAAGAGTGCTCCTTTTGCAAGTTTACTCATGCAAAATAGTCTTTTAGAATTGGGGAAAGTTCAGAAGCCAGGCACCAAAGTTCAAGTGCAAAAGTCTTTGTGTGCATAGTGCTCTCTTGTCCATTTCCCCTTCCAGCAGTTGTTTCCATTCACATGGATTCTTCAAAGCAGCTTTTCAGGATGCTCAGGGAGTTAACTGCTGACAGGAGGTATTTCAAAAGCCCCTACACACATGGCCCACTGCATTTCAGCCACTGTAAATGTTAATACCAGCTCTGGTTTTACAAAAGGTCAGCATATGCACCCATTATCTGTACGAGACAGAAAAGTGTGTATATAAGCACTCATTTCAACTGCCTAACGTGGTTTTTCTACATGAAACTGCACTGCAGACCAGAGCACACACTCCTCACAAGGTGAATGGGAATTTTATTATTGACCTCAGCAGAGCCAGAATTCTGCATATTCCAAGCACTGCAAAACAAGGCAGGCTCTTTGGATGTTATTAACAATAACAATAAGCCACCTGCCATTTTCACAAGAAAATTAAAATCTTATGGCTTTGGTCTTGAACAAAATAGGAAAAAATTGGTCTGCCTTTTAGAAACTGACAAAGAATCAGATAAAACTGAAGAAATTACATTAGCTTCTCCCAACTACATTCAAGAATTATGTTGCATGCTAAGAATACATAAACATGTAAGTTCACAGCTTTCAGGATATCAATGAAGAATCAATATTTGTTGGAAAGAAAAATGTTACAGATGCATCCATTTCCCCTATTCTGTAAATTTCAGCATAGTTTCAGCAAATTGGATATAGCAGCTTGATACAGAAGTCTACACATTCGTGATTAAAAAGAACAACAGAGCTTTTTCTGGATTAGCAGCTGCATAATGATCACATTCTGAAAGCTGATCCTCTAGGAACATAAAACAGCATGGATTATGGTGGTATTCTACATTTACAATCACTTCATGCTGCAGTCTTTCAAATCTTGTGCGTATTTCAGATCTTGTGGTGCATTTCCTGTGGCAATATCACAGTAAGCAGCACTTCCCAAATGAAGAGTGATGCTAAGGATGTGGGTTCTTATTTAACCTATCTCCTTTGCCAAATCTTCTGGAGTAACCACCCCTTAACCCAATTGGCACATAACAAAGGAAGCCCACTGAAACACAAAAAACAAAACCTATGCAAAATCCTCTTTGTCCCAGTAGCAAAATTTCCACAGTTAAATCATTCCTTATTTTGATTGTTCCCTTTCTTGGGAATAGCTTTGTTTGACACTGCGTTGTAATTAGTGTACTTTATGGCTTTTTTTCATAAACAAGGAAACACAACACAACAAAACTGATTGAAGCATTCTGTAAAAGTGACCCCGGGAAGTAGTGGAGCAAACTTACATAAACCAGGGATAAGCACTCTCCTGAATCAGCCAGTTTATCCAGCCTGGTGGAGGATTCCAAAGACTTAAGGATGGGTTAATTTCTTTAAAACTGGGCTCATGTTTTTGCTGCTGGGGGTTGGGGGGGACTGTTTGGTATACCTGAAGAGATGATAAACAAGCAGGAAACACTTGAGCTGCCATAAAATAAATAAGATATAGCCATGTGTTTAAAGGAGGCTGGGTCTGGATCCATGCTGCCTAGGGCAGGCATAGCCCTTGTTGCACAACAGAGGTTCATTACTATCTAAAGCAGGAATGAACAAAACAAACATTCAACAGAGCCAGAAATTATAAAATCAACTGGACAAAATAATGAACAAGCTTCCTAATACTTTCTAGCCTACTGACTGAATTATGGTAATGCTGATTTCCTACAAAGCTAATAGCACAGAAAAACACAGCTGTCAGATGGAGAAAAAGGCTGAACAACTTTCAGTAAAGCAGACAAAAATGCAAAAGAAAAATTTTAAAAATCCACTGACAAAACAAAATAGAGAAATAAAAAACTGGTAGCCAGTTAACTTTGGGTTATCGTTCACAACTCAAGAAAGGCCTTCAGAAGGCATCACACTACTTGAACTAAGACTGTCACATGAACCCCTCAGGAGCAACTATTTTGCCTTTAAACATAGTACTATTACTGTTTTGAGTGTCAAGTGCAGAAGAGGTTAGATTTTAGCCAGTGAATGGCAAGTGACAGCAGCTAATGATTTGCAATACACAGATGAGCTCCATCTTAACAAGGTCCACGTCCAGTTGAAGAAGTTGTTTCTCCCTCCATCTCCTCCTCTTTTCTTGTTGACCTTCAAAGAGGGAATTCAGAACCAGGCCCAGTTTTGCTTCTTCGCTCTCAGGCACACTTCCAGAACAAATCTAGAAATTGTCCATCTCTCTATCTCTTGCCAATCCCATTGGTTACTTTTGTTTTTGAATGGCGATTTCTCCTCCTAGATGAATGGCTCTCACTGTTGCTTGAGTGTTTGGGTAGACTATCTTCCATTCCTGACAAACAATTCACACACACACACGAGATATGTGGTTATTTTAAAGAAGTTCTTTTATTGCTCACAAATGTAGTCCCTGGATCTGTTAATCCATATTGACCCAATCTAGTTGAATACAGCATGCCATCTAGTGGTTTAACTACCAACTTATTCCCCTGCCCCTTGTTAAGGCACTGTTTGTATTAATGGCTAGACTTCCTAAATCTTTCCTAACTCCTTCTATTAGTAAAGTGGGTAGCTGTCATGTATACACTGGGTACTTCAACTATAAAAGCCAAGCTCAAGGAGAATCTCTCATTGGGCTGCCAAAGCATTCAGTCAAATCCCATGTCTAAATTTAAAAGTTTTATTAAAATCAAATATAAATGATGAGGAAGAAAACAGAGAAGTAGCATATAAAAAGACATACAGCAATTTGCTCTTTAAAAAAGTTAAAACATCCTTATGAGGACTAAGGCTCACACATGAGAATTTTTCATAGGGAATTAGTCACAGAGAGTAATTCTCATTTTAAAACAAATGAAATCAGGGACAGGTAGATAGGTCCAGCAGAGTACTGCTGACTGTGTGCATGGAGGATGCTTCAAATGTAGAGTACTGTGAAGTGGAGAAGCTATATTTGGTTTTTAAAGAGATGGATGCTTTTATCTTTAAGGCTTTTCTCCACACTCTGGTTCTGTGCATATGAGCCCATAACTGAAGGGAGGGGGGCTTCTAGGTGTCCAGCACAGAGCCACTGAAATTAAGAAGAATTAATAAAGTTTGGAAATAATATTTGAGAATCATTTTAAATGGAAAACTGTAGACTCAGTGGGATTAAATGGGAGAGCAGTGATTGGGTAGAGCCTATGTTACATTATATAGAACTGTCTTATGTACACAGAGAAAAACCAGGGGAGGTGAAGCTGAGAGAAAACAAGAAAAGGCACAGAAAGTATGGGGAATGTTGAACTGTGTCATTCTGCTCTGCTAGTGGATCCTAAGTTGCAGATGATGTGCAGAGGGAAAAACCTCTCAGGAGAGCACCCTGCCCTGTGCTAGTGCGAAGTTCTTATACACCTGAAAGGTTCTGTAGAACTCCACCAGCACTATTTGAGTTTACAAAATGACAGTGCTGGGTACTGCCCGATACTAAGAATAAAATCACTGAATCAATTTCGCTAGCTATGTTTTAATTATGACTGCTAGTGAATATACTAGTATAAAGGCTCCATTAAACACAGCCCATTCTGAGTAAAAATGCACAGCATTGTCCTGTACAGCTGCAATCTATGTGCACTTACATGGCAGTAAATCTCACTAAACTCAAGATTTCTGAGTAGGATTACTTCTGCATAGGATGGTGCAGAAGTAAATCAAGCACAAGTTAATATCTTTCTTAATGTAAGCCGTCCTGAGACGTTTGTAGGGGACAGGATAAACATCTTTTAATAAATAAATGAAATAAAATAATTAATGTTTAAAGGTTGAAAGCATAATTTTACAGATATAAATAAGGGTAAATAAGTAAATGGGAAAAGCTTGAAGAACAGTAACAGAAACAAATGAGAACAGATTGGGTCCACACTTGGTCATGCTTAAAGTAGGCCTACTGAAATCAGTGGGATTTAGGGTGACTAACTTGCCCAATAAATTCCAGTGGGTCTACTTGAAATGTAACTAAGCCAGATCCATTCATACATATATTTTAGTAACAAACTTGAAAAAGATAAAATGTCGGATATTGACGTAGTATCTTCCATAATAATATCTTCCATTGATGTAATATCTTCCATAATAATATCTATTATGGAAGATATTGTTAGAGAATAAAGTAAATGAAGGAGGAGCAGTGCAGTCAAAACAGAAAAAGAAAATAAACTTTCACAAACAATAATTTAATCCCCAATATGTAGACTCTGGATAGAGTGCATGATCCATATTCTGGGTTAAAGAATTATAAACAGGAATATATATATATATAGGAACTGGACAAACTGCAGGCTGTACTTCTGAAGAATGAATACAGCAGACAAAAGTTCACAAAAATTTTAAACTACCATATAAGGTTTACTTGTGCTACAACGTAACCCATTCAAAACTATTTTAATTCAAATCCTTACAAAAACCAAATATATGGAAAAACAAGCTGGCATGTTTCAAAGAAGAAAAACAAAATAAGGAGTATAAAGGTAGGCCACCTAGGTTGTTAAATAAACAGCAAGATTGTTTTCCAATATTTTAGAAAAGTTTTATTTTGTTTCAGGTTAGCATAAGATTAGAACATATTCTAAAATGGAAGAAAGAAAAATATTACTGGGAAGTGATGTTAAGTGATCATTCTACAGAAAAATATGCTTGTTTTCTCATATGCTAGATATATAATATAAAGAACAGATAAGTTACATAATTTTAAAATGTATGCTATGGTTTGAGAAAGCAAACTTTTTTTTGGTTACTAAACTTTTTATTTCTAAGTGGGTTGGCATTGATTTCAAAACTGAAAGGAGATACATAAGGAGTAGGATGTTAAAATGTGCACCACACACACCATTTTTTACTCCTCCAAACTCTTCCAAAGACGCAGAACAGCCTCCCCCAACCTGGCACCTTCCAGATGTGTTGGACTATAGTTCTGATCACCTCCAGCCAGTATAGCCAATGACCTGGGATTATGGGACTTGTAGTCCTAAACATCTGGAGTGTACAAGGATGGGAAGAATGGAAAGTGTATCTGTAACTGTCTCTCAGCTATGTGCAATTGAAGGGGCTCAGTGCACACAAACCGGCCCCAAAAGCTCCTGTGCTAATACAAATCCTTCTTATGGGGTGCATGAGTCCATCCCATACACTCTGCTACTCCTGCCCCTTATTTGCTGTTGGGAGGCTCTTACACTTACACTTTAGGCTCTTGACCTGCTGTGTTAACTCTTACCTAACTATTCCTGATTTGGTTACTTAAGTTTGGAGAGAGGCTCTAGAAATGCAAAACCAGCCACAAAGAACTCCCTGTGGAGGAAAATGGCCAGGCAAAATGGCCGCATAAGTAAGAGAAATAACCAGGCACTAAACTTTACACAGTATCACAACAGATTTCAACTGAAACACACTTCCTGTAATCAAGGCAAAACTTCCTGTTAAGTCATACTATAGTAAGCTGAATTGGGAGCAGTTAACCTCTGTATACAAGGGCTAGTTCATTTAGTTATTTGTTGCTTGTTTTGTATAAGTAGTTAACTGTTTCATATTTTCACATATGCTCTACACCAGAGTTGGGGGAGAATATTCATAGCCATGAGCAACAACTAAAGAGAAGTTGTTTGGTTTATGAATCCTACTTAATTTATTAATCCAAATTGGTCCACTAGCATTGAGATATACATATATAAACTTTATATATTTATATAAATTTATATCCCCCTTCATGGATCACTGCCTTGCCGTGGCGAAGGGGCTTGCGTAGCTCAATGAAGCTAGGAGCTATGCTGTGCAGGGTCACCCAAGACAGACAGGTCATAGAAGAGAGCTCTGACAAAACGTGATCCACTGGAGAAGGAAATGGCAACCCACTCCAGTATCTTTGCCATGAAAACCCCATGGACAGTACCAAAAGGCAAAAAGATATGACACTGGAAGATGAGCCCCTCAGGTCGGAAGGTGTCCAATATGCTACTGGGGAAGAGCAGAGGGCTAGTACTAGAAGCGCCAGAAAGAATGAAGCAACTGGGTCAAAGCCGAAAGGACATTCAGTTGCTGATGTATCTGGTGGTTAAAGGAGAGTCCGATGCTGCAAAGATCTATACTCCATAGGAACCTGGAATGTAAGATCCATGGATCAAGGCAAGCTGGATGTGGTCAAACAAGAGATGACAAGACTGAACATCGACATCTTAGGAATCAGTGAACTAAAATGGACAGGAATGGGTGAATTTAATTCAGATGACATCAGGTATACTACTGCGGGCAAGAATTCCTCAGAAGAAATGGAATAGCCTTCATAGTCAATGAAAGATAGGAAAAGCAGTACTGGGATACAATCTCCAAAATGACAGAATGGTCTCAGTTCGAATCCAAGGCAAACCATTCAACATCACAACAGTCCAAGTCTATGCCCCAACCACTGGTGCTGAAGAGGCTGAAGCTGACCAGTCCTATGAAGGCCTACAACACCTTTTAACTCCAAAAAATGATGTTCTTATCATCATGGGGGATTGGAATGCTAAAGTAGGAAGCCAAAAGATAACTGGAATAACAGGCAAGTTTGGCCTTGGAGTACAAAATGAGGCAGGGCACAGGCTGGTAGAATTTTGTCAAGAGAATATGATGGTCATAACAAACACTCTTTTCCAACAACCCAAGAGACGACTCTACACATGGACATCACCAGACGGTCAACACAGAAATCAGATTGACTCTGTGCTCTGCAGCCAAAGATGGAGAAGCTCTATACAGTCAGTAAACACTAGACCAGGAGCTGACTGTGGCTCAGATCGTGAGCTTCTTGTTGCAAAATTTAGGCTTAAATTGAAGAAAGTGGGGAAAAGCACTAGGCCACTCAGGTATGACCTAAATCATATCC